CAAATTACCTCTGTACAGCAAATGGACAGATCAGTGCTATAGAAATAAGAAGAATGTTTGACCAGAAGCAATTAAAAGCAGGCCCGAAGGCCACAGATTAAAATCACCTACCTTTGGCTTGGTAGCATCACTTTCTATCAACGAGGCCCACAGAGCTCTCTCTATGTTGATGTTGTTAAGTGCTGTCGAGTTATAGATGACTCATAGAGACCCTAAGAATGAAAGACCTAAACACTTGTATATCATCATTTCTCCAAGTTCACAGAGTTTCTGGAGGCAAGCTATTTTGGAAGTGGATGTCACTGCTGCTTCCAAAGCTCACTTTAGTAATCCATATTTCAACATTGATATTTTGAGGTTTTAAAAGATTTTTGTGTGTGTATGTGTGTGTGTGTGTAACATCAAATCGGATCTGACTGGTACAGGAGGAGATTGCCCCTCTTTCTCCAGCATAGCATTTGGTGGATTCAAACCACCTACCTCTGAGATTGCAGTGCAGCTTCTTGCCACTAGGCCACCAGAGCTCACTTTAAGCGATATTTTTGTCAAAGATTCTGCAAAGGTGTGTTTTTTAGTTTGGGGTCAAGACAAGGGTGTGGCTCTTGCTTACAATAGAGTGTGAGCTGATTGGATTTGGCATTGCCTCTAAAAAGTCTTTGGCTACCAGTCTGAGGAAATTTCCAGGCTAAGAAGATGACTGGAATGGTCAGATTCTGCAAAGGTGTGTTTTCTGGCTTGGGGTTCCAGACTAGAATGTGGTTCTTGCTCACAATAGTGTGTGAGCTGATCAGATTGGTCTCATATTTTAAAAGGTTTTTGGGCCCTTGGAAACTGGTGTTTGTGGATCTTTCAAATAAAACAGGTTTGGAAGCAGGAGTGGCATCCACTTATAAAAAAGCTTGCCTCTGTTTGTGTTCAAGACTTTCATTCATAGGGTTGCTATGGGTCATCTGCGTCTCTGCATCACTTAACAACAACAACATTCAATTTATTAACTCTTCTTCTATGGGAACTCAAGAACAAGTAGATCTTTGATAATTTAAATATCTTCTGTTTTTATCATGATGTTGTTTATTGTTTCACTTACATAAGACTTAACAAAAGACTAAAGTATGATTCAATTAAAGTTGAAGGGGGTTTGGAGACAAATTTTAGAAATCACAATTGGTAGTCTCAATTATTTCCTGAGAATGGAAATTTATTTTCTATTGATGGAAAACATTTGGATTAGGTTATATGAGGAAAATATTAAGACTGTACTCCTCTTATCTTGATCTTGGGGCTTCACTGTAACCTGTTCACCATGGATAACTCTTCTAAAATTTGAAACATTGGTGGCATAGCTTTCAACATCATAGCAACACATATGTTATACCAGTAGAGCATACTGATAAACATGTGCTGTATTACAAGAGCAAATGATAAATAAGCAAACAACTAAAGCAATTAATAACATGCATGTTCTCATATCAAACAATAATAGTAATATCACATGCAAGTAAAATATTACTGAAGATCTTCCAAATACAGCTAGAAGAATACATTGACCAGGAACTGCTAGAAGTTCAAGTGGGGTTTATAAGACCTCACGAAACCAGAGGTATCTCTTTTTGCTGATGTCAGATGGTTCCTTGTTGAAAGTAGAGAATACCAGAAAATGTCTATCTGTATGTAATTGACTAAGGAAAGACATTTGATTATGCAGATCATAACAAACTATGACCAGGATTGAGAATTATGGAAATCCCAGGACCCTTAATCATGTTTATATTAAATAAATACCTAGATCAAGAGCTGTTCTTTCAACAGAACAAGGGGACACTGCATGGCTTAAAATCAGGAAAATTGTATGCCAGAGATGTGTTCTTTCCCTATACCTATTCAGTCTGTTTGCTGAGCAAATAATTTCCCATCTCTAAACTAGGTTATCTTATATAGGAAGGATAATGTATCTTAATCACAGTAAGAAAAATCTGTCTTGAATCTCATTTTGTGTAATAGACCAAATCTATTTTCAGTTCACACTTCATCTCCTGTGTAGGTCAGGAGATTCTGTTCATTGTGTTAATTCAAGTTCCAAGTGATAGAAATGTCATTTCTCAGTGCATCCTATAGGGTAAGTTGTTACTGTCAACTCTCAAGTGGATTACAATCCATAGTAACCCTTATAAGCAACAGATTTAAACCTCTATCTGATCCCCTACCATTCTCACAATCTGTCTTGCTCAAGCCCACTTAAAATCACTGTGTTAATCCACCTCCCTAAGGAAGTTCCTCTCTTTTACTGTACTGGAAAAGAATGATGAATACCCCGTTGTCTTAGAGACGAACAGATATGTCTTGGAAAAAGTGCACCAGAGTGCTCTTTGGAGATAAAGATGGCAAAACTCCATCACTCATACTTTGAACTAGTACTAGGCAAGGCTATTATTCTCTTGAAAGGATATCAAGCAAGGGTATCTTGCTTGCTGAAACTGAGAAGGACCTGAAGCACTTGCTGCAGAAGGTCAAGGACTGCAGCCTTCAATATGAATTGAAGCTCAGCATCAAGAAAACAAAGATTCTAACCACTGGGTCAATTGGCAGCATCAGTATGGATGTTGAAGAGATTGAGATAGTTAACAGTTTTAGTTTACTTGGTTCCACAGTCAACACTCTTGGTAACAGCAGCCAAGAAATCAAGAGATGAATTGCACTGGGAAAGTCAGCTGTGAGGGACCTTCAAAAGTACTGAAGAGCAACAACGTCAGGCCAGA